ACTTTTCTTAATAACTAAGCCCATTTTGTTTTTAATATACTGCAATCCTTGTTGTCAAACAACAATATTTTTTTTATTAAATGTTATTCTTGTTTCCAAACAACTCTCAAATGTATTTCAGTTTTAATAATATAGATTAGCCGTGAGAAATCCACTATATATTAATTGAGAAGCATTACAACATATTTTGGTAGCCACGTGTCATCATGAGAATGTTTTTCAAATTTACTAGAGAAAAATATTGGTCCATATAAACATATAATATAATTTTATTAAACTAAGCATAAAACTATTATTAATGCTAATCATTATTTTCTTAAATTTTTTTTGCGGAATTACCTAATATGGTTATAGTATATATATGACAATTAATGATTTGAATATAAAAGATTTAATAAAAAATTGTATAGCATCTACTCTTTTTCTTAAATTTTATACTATTAAATAAATTAAACAACAACTTTAACTATAAAACAAAAAATTAGATTTTTTTTATATATGTTATATTTGAATTTTAAAAAATGACTATAAATTAATAAAAAATTTAAAATTTCACATATAATATTTTTGATTAAATTATATGATGTATATATAATGAGTAAGAAATATCACTTAATAGATATTTAAATTAGATATATATATATATATATTTAGTGATGCTTAAATTAAACTAAAGACCATTTAAAAATACATAAATATTTAATTCCAAAATTGAATTAATCAAGTATTGAGAGCTTAATACTTTAATGACAAACTCTGAAATTAATTTTTGAAACGATAATAAATTACTGTAAATCTTAAATCTTTTACATTAAAAATGATGTTACGAATATTTTAAAATTTTATTTAAAAATGTGCAAATTATTATAAAACCATGTAAGTGTGAAAATTCATTTATTAGATATCCAAATTAAAAATATAATATATATATATATATATATATGTTAATCATTTATTAATTAGATTTACTTATATAAAATGATTGTAAATAAAAATATGATTATTTTACTTAAGGGCTCACTAAATTAATTGTATATATAATAGTTACAGATTTTTCAATTATTTAATATTTTTTATTTTATAATTTATAAAAGAACACAAATAAAAAATAAGACATAAACTATATATAATTTTCATCCCGCGCAAATGCATAGATATTAACCTAATCATATAATTAAACTAAAATATAATGTATGTTGACTTTGTAAGATCAATATACAGTTAATATTTTGTTCAGCGGAGGAAAAAATCATATAATTAAAGTAGATATTTTTGTTAATCTATACTAGTTTTTGTTATCTATGAAACTAGACCAAATAACAGGCCACATCCCCTATATTAATACTATTAAAATAGAAACACATTTTATCTACTTGCAAGTAGTCTATGTTATACTATTACATTTATTTAATTTCTTTTGTATTCTCCTATAACTAACTTAATTATCATTTAAATGTATATTATGCTTGACCAATTATTTTAATATTTGAAAAATAAGAAATCTAAAAAGATATTCTTTAGTATCATTCCTAAGATTAGATTTTAATAATATCTTTTCTTTAAAATTTAAGTATACATATCTTTTTAATATTTATGTTTAAATAATAAAATTCATTATTAATATTTACTATATAAACAAATACTAATTCATTTTTCATTTATATAACAAGAAATAAATTTATATATACATAATATATATTCATAATTAAATGACCACACCAAGTAATAATAAATATAAAGTAACTTAACAAGTTATATTCAGATTTTAGCGGTTTTTTCGGGTTTATAGAATTTGTAATGATGATTTTTTATTTTAAAACCAAACCAGACTACATATAAATTCATCAGTTTTATCAGTTTAACTACAGGTCCAGATCGAGTTTCAGAACACTAAATACAACTCTTCATGTTTAGCATTTAAATGTAAATACATAATCAGATATACAAATTTATATCATATAAATTTGGTTTGTTTTGGAGATAATCCCGCACTTTGAAACGTAGCCGAGTCTCAGGTTTTAACGGGATTTGTGTGGGTTTTATATAATTTTAAAATAATCAGCTTTTAAAACAAACAAACCGGGTTACATATAAAGTCATTGGTTTTGTCGGTTTAACCACGGGTCCGGGTCATATTTCAGAACACTAAATATAATGCTTCATGTGTAACATTTAAATGTTGATACATAATCAAAGATACAAATTTATACATATAAATTTGATTTGTATCGAAAATAATCATGCATTTGAACCGGTAGCCAGTCCCAGGTTTTGGTGGGTTTTTTGTGGGTTTTATAGAATTTTAAATAATAAGATTTTTTAAAAAAATCAAACTGATTACATATAACATTATTTTTTCTGTCGGTTTAACCATGAATCTAATTGTGTTCCAAAACACTGAATACAACGGTCATGTGTAACATTTAAATGTAGATACATATTCAGATATGCAAATTTATATCATATAAATTTGGTATGTTTGAAAAATAATCTTGCGCTTTGAAAGTGCGGATTAATATCTAGTATTAATTAAAAAGCATTACAACATGTTTTGGTGGCCACATGTCATCATGAGAATGCTTCTCAAATTTACTAAAAAAAATGTTGGTTCATATAAACATATAATATACTTTTTATTAAACTAAGCATAAAACTACTATTAATGCTAATAATTATTTCCTTATATAAAAATTAACTTAATATAGTTATAATATATATATGACAATTAATGATTTGAATATGAAATATTTGATAAAAAATTATATAGCGTTTACTCTTTTTGTTAAATGTATAGTATGAAAATAAATTAAATAATAATCTCTATAATATTATTTGAGAAGTCAGTTTCCTACGTGTCGCGCTCACGTTAACTCTCACGATGGTTGATTACATAAATACCCTTAATGAATTGGTAGATTTTAAGATTATTAATTTTTATTTAGTTTCCTTTTTAACTTTTTCCAAATAACATATATAAGAAAAAGGAAATATTTCTAAAATTTTAAAAAAAAATTTAAACGAAAAATATGTATATAATAAGACTTTATTAAAAAGGAAAGTTCACAAAATAATAATATCTCCATTAATATATATTTTTAAATAACATAAAATATATTTTTAAAAAAAAATTATATATGTCCATGAACATTCAAAAATTTATCAGTTACACTTTATTTTCTAATATTATTTAGAAGTAAACACATAATTTGATAAATATTAAGAAAATACATGTATATTTAAGCGATAAATAAAACTAATTTGATTTGACTTAACTAAAATTAAAAGTAATTATACTTCAATTTTAAATTTAAAAATATATTTAACTCAATATACTCACAAAATGAATGACTCGACTAATCTAATTTATATCCAAAATTAAACATCTAACTACAAAAGAACATATAATTTTATAATAATAATAATAATAATAATCTATTTGATTTTATACATATAAATTAGAGGTTGACTCAAAGCATATTAAAAACAAAAAAAATAAAATATTAAACAATTACAATTTAATTCTTTTGTAGAATTTATATATATGCATGAGACTTCAAAATATTATCATTATATTCATTTATTTAATTTTGAATCAAACACTTCAGCTTATTATTTATTTCAATTTAAGCATAATATATATTAAGTTATACATAATTTAACTATAATATATTTACATATCTAAAAAAAATACATATCTAAGACAATAACCAACCGAAATGAAAATAAGAAAATTAATCAAAGTTTTATTATAGCTGAATTCGAAAATAAATATTATCCAATATACCAAATTGATAACCAATTCGACTATTGATCCAAAAAAATAATTAAACCTACAATAATATATCCAAAAATCATATGTATAATTAAAATAATATAATATCTATTAATATAAATTATGCATATGTTTATTCAAAACTAAAACTAAATATCAGTCAATTATTATAAATTTTTACTTTTATGAATATTCATATCCGTGCATGAGCACGGGAAAATCACCTAGTATCAACTATATAACAAAAAATTAGATTTTTTATATATGTTATATTTTGAATTTCTAAATTAAAAATTTCACATATAATATGTTTGATTAATAGTTTAATTTTTGTTATAGCACGAGAAAAACAATTATATAATTAATGAGTAAGAAATATCATTTAATAGATATTTAAATTAGATGTATATATATATATATATATTAGTGATGTTTAAATTAAACTAAATACCATTTAAAATACATAAATATTTAATTTCAAAATTGCATTGAACAAGTGTTGAGAACTTAATATTTAAATGACAAACTTTGAATTTATTTATTTTAAACGATGATAAATTACTGTAAATATTAAATCTCTCATATTAAAAATGATGTTATCAATATTTTAAAAAAATTATTATAAAAATATCAAATGATCATAAAACCATGTAAGTGTGAAGTTTCATTTATTCGATATCCAAATTAAAAGTATAATATATATATATATATATATATGTGTTAATCTCATTTATTAATTAGATTTACTTATATAAAATGATTATAAAAATGATTATTTTATTTAAGTGTTTGCTAAATTAATTGTATATATAATAGTTACAGATTTTTAATTATTTAATATATAGATTTATTATTTTCTAATATATAGAAAACACAACATAAAAAATAAGACATAAAATAATTTATGTATATAATTTGCACCCCGCGCAAATATGTGGATATTAACCTAGTTCTATAGAAAAAGGTAGGAAAGTGTTTGTAACACAACTACCCAAATCAAACTTAGGAACCCATTATTTCCCCCTTTTTCAATCTAAATATTATAGAAATGTTGACATATTCCACTTTCGCAAATATATAAAACATGGAATAAAATCCACCCCATATATTTAATTACTTGTTCAAGAGTCTTGTCGTACATCATATTACTTGGACAGTGAGCAACGGCCAATTAAAAAAAACTCTTCTCGCCTGCAAAAGCCGTCCAACACATCGTTTTGTCTTCTTTCCATTTCCACACCTCATCAAAACAATCCAACGGTTCTTATCAAAAGAATCTAACGGCTCTCACTCACTCTCGTCCTCTTTATATATCAAAACTGAATCTTCCACTTCGTCACCTAAAACCCTCGAACTCATCGCCTGTCATCTCTAAGATCTCTACTCAAACCATGGCCACTATCACCGCCGTTAAAGCTAGGCAGATCTTCGACAGCCGTGGCAATCCCACCGTTGAGGTTTGTTTCTTCTCGAAGCTTATGAGTGATCGATCATGTTTATATGATTCTTGCGTTGAGGTTGATCTGTGTATAAGATTCTAGAATCTAACCCACCGTTGATCTGTGTTTATTTCCTTCATCTGGATTTACACGATCTGTTTTAGTAATGAAGTTTGTTATCTTATGGTTAAATTCGCTTCTCTTGTGGTTAAATTCGGTTGTGTTATGGTTAAATTTGGTTGTCTTATTGTTTAATTCGGTTATCTTACGGTTTAGTTTGGTTTTCTTTTTTGCTGGTTTAGCTCAATTGCTTTTGCTTATGTATAATGTACATTGGACACTTATTCATAGTTGAGAAATTTTTCAATGATAGATTTAAAATCCATAGAGAAGAAGCTAATGGTTACTGGGGTTGGTCTGATAATGGTTTAGGTCGATGTCCACACATCAAGTGGTGTTAAGGTTACAGCAGCGGTTCCGAGTGGAGCTTCCACTGGTATCTACGAGGCTCTTGAGCTTAGGGATGGTGGTTCTGACTACCTTGGAAAGGGTGTCTCTAAGGTGAGACTTTGTTGTCTTCTTGTGTGTTGAAGAAGTGTTCGTTTTGTCTGATTTGTTTTTTGTTGATGTCTATAGGCTGTTGGCAATGTGAACTCTATCATCGGCCCAGCTTTGATTGGAAAGGTGAGACTTATCTCCTTATTTTAGTTCTAGTGATTTAGATTGTAACTGAATGTGCTATTTTTTTATTGGAAAGGTGAGTTTCTTTTTTGAATTTGGTTCTAGTGTTTTTGATTGTATCTTAAGTTGTTGTTTTTCTGATTCTGACATTCATGTTTCTTGCAGGACCCAACTCAGCAAACTGCTATTGACAACTTCATGGTCCATGAACTTGATGGTACCCAGAACGAGTGGGGATGGTGCAAGCAAAAGGTGCTTTAAAGGGAAACTCATGTTTTGTGTTTTCATTTTAAGAATGAAAGAGGAGTCTGACCATCTTGTTTTTTTTTTTTTTTGTGTGAGCAGCTTGGAGCCAATGCTATTCTTGCCGTATCTCTAGCTGTCTGCAAAGCTGGGGCCGTTGTCAGTGGCATTCCTCTCTACAAGGTAGGATGGTCTTGCGGCTAATATAATAAGACAGTTTGCTACTTGTTTTTTTATCTGGTACTAGATGTTCTAAGCTTTTCCATTTATGTGGTATTTGGGTGCAGCACATTGCCAATCTTGCTGGTAACCCTAAGATTGTGCTACCTGTTCCTGCCTTCAACGTTATCAATGGTGGATCACATGCCGGAAACAAGCTCGCTATGCAGGAGTTTATGATTCTTCCTATTGGAGCTGCTTCTTTCAAGGAGGCCATGAAAATGGGTGTTGAAGTTTACCACAACTTGAAGGTAAAATCTTCAATCATTATTTTCTTTGAAATGGCGTTTTAAACTATATGCATTAATATGTGTTACCTATTAATTTATGTGGACTAACATTTTTCCTTATGTTTTCCAGTCTGTGATTAAGAAGAAGTATGGCCAGGATGCTACAAACGTGGGTGATGAAGGTGGCTTTGCACCAAACATTCAGGAAAACAAGGAAGGTCTTGAATTGCTCAAGACTGCTATCGAGAAGGCTGGCTACACTGGCAAGGTTGTCATTGGAATGGATGTTGCTGCTTCTGAGTTCTACTCATCTGACAAGACCTACGACTTGAACTTCAAAGAAGAGGTGGAAATTCCCTTAATTATTTCTTTCTTTTGCCAAATTGATTAGAAAAACCACAAGAAATATGCTCATCCTCTATTTGTTTCTCTGCAGAACAACAATGGTTCTCAGAAGATTTCTGGAGATGCTCTCAAGGACCTGTACAAGTCCTTCGTTGCTGAGTACCCAATTGTGTCCATTGAGGACCCATTTGACCAAGATGACTGGGAGCACTATGCTAAGATGACTGCCGAGTGNTAGAAAAACCACAAGAAATATGCTCATCCTCTATTTGTTTCTCTGCAGAACAACAATGGTTCTCAGAAGATTTCTGGAGATGCTCTCAAGGACCTGTACAAGTCCTTCGTTGCTGAGTACCCAATTGTGTCCATTGAGGACCCATTTGACCAAGATGACTGGGAGCACTATGCTAAGATGACTGCCGAGTGTGGTGACAATGTTCAGATTGTCGGTGATGATTTGTTGGTCACCAACCCCAAGGTTTGCAACTTAACCCAGATGTTCGTACCTATGTATCTATCTGTATTGCTTATCGTCATTTTATTCTGTTCTTGTTCCAGAGAGTTGCCAAGGCAATTGCAGAAAAGTCTTGCAATGCTCTTCTCTTGAAGGTGTATTACCCAACCAAGATTTTAATCCTAATTCAGATTATAATAATCTTTCTAAAGTTGCTGAATAAATCTTTGGTGAACAGGTTAACCAAATCGGATCAGTAACAGAGAGTATTGAGGCAGTGAAGATGTCGAAGAGAGCAGGATGGGGAGTGATGGCCAGTCACCGAAGTGGTGAAACCGAGGATACCTTCATTGCTGATCTATCCGTTGGCTTGTCTACTGTAAGTTTTAAACCATTCAAAAGCGAAGCAACACGTCGTCCTTGTTGTCTGATTCTGATTTTTGACTTTTCTCTCTTGACAGGGACAAATCAAGACGGGAGCTCCTTGCAGATCCGAGCGTCTTGCCAAGTACAACCAGGTTAAACATCCCAAACCAAAATATGATCTCTGTGTGTTGGTTGTAACAAGAATCAAGATCTTTATAGACTAATCTGTTTCCTTGAATGTTGTAATCATGACCAGCTTTTGCGTATTGAGGAGGAGTTGGGATCAGAGGCAGTTTACGCTGGAGCCAACTTCCGCAAGCCTGTGGAGCCTTACTAGAAGGTGCAAGCTTTTCACGTAGCAAGGTTGTCCTTTGTGACGAGAAGAAGATCAGAGTTGTGTTTGGTCATTTTACTTCAATAAAACATTACGCTTTTTTTTTCTTTCTGCGTTTATGGTTTGAACCCTTATTTTTGTAAGAGAAACCTGAGATGGCTTTGTCTTTATTGACAACAGCAGCTCTTCTTTTATGGTCTAATATCGGCTTTCCTCAATTGATCGTGTGATACTTATGATTCACATGGTCTGTCTTCAAACTAGTTACATGTGTTGCAACTTGTTTCAAGCGTCTTTAGTAAAAAATTTTTCTTTGGGTTTAAAGTTATAACGCACATTGCAAGGAAAAAAGTGTTTGTGTTAGATATTTCTTTTCGATAAACTAGAGTTCAACTGTGTTCAAAACTGGCGAGAGAAAACCTCAGATGCTCGAATCAAATGCTCAGGTTCTTCTGTCCAAAAAATAAAGAAGCTGAGATATTCTTGTCTGAAACTATCCGGATTTGTAATTAAATATATCCTTATTTAAATCCAAAAAAAATATTAAAAGACCACAAGCCCAACAGAAACTTGCATAATTACAATCCAATTAGAGCCATTTCGCGGACTATCCAAACCCGATCCATAAAATTCGGATATGTTTTCCGAAACCTTTGTAAGAATTGGTGTAATTGTAAACCTTGGTGTAACTGTGCAGCGTAATAAAACTTAAACTAATAAATTGAAGGTATTCTAAATTGAACTAAGTCGCACTTTTAGATTGCAATTTTTTATCACGTTATTGTTTAGCCACAGTTGTTGTTATTGATATATTCGTTGAAGTTCAAATAAAAAAATATTAGTTTATAAATATAACTAGAGAAACTATATTATGTTTATAGTTATAACTAGAGAAATAGTAGAGCATATTGTGAAGAGTAATTTACATAACAACTTATTAAAACTAGATAAAACTTCTATATCATAAACACCCAACTAATCTTCAATGGGCCAGGCACGAGCAGCCGAGTGTATGGCATCGCAGAAGTCCGAAGCTGCACAATTCCAGAAACAACGATCGCATTTCCACCGTAATCTTGATCCATCTAGGGAGACTACAAACATTGGAGGGTCTAGGTTGGACCACCAGCAATCATGTGGCACATTAGGATCTATCCTTTCAGCCACATATAGAAACATGGGAGGTTTTTCGTAATCCCAATTGCCTGAGATATCTCAACTAGTGATGATTTGAAACATCTCCTCAACATGTTGACGAGTAAAAGCAAAGTAGTTGTGAACAATTCCTGTACCATCAACGCTAAAGGCTAAATTCAGCATAACATCTACAAATTGTGCCAACACGAACCCTCTCTCACCAGCACGATGTATATTTTCCCTTCCTTCATCAAGTAAATGGAGGAAGAAGAACTCGTACATACCTCTCAGGTAGATGGCCTCAGGATTACCCAAACGGTAGCATTTAAGCTTGAAAGCTCAAACAGCATTGACCTCGTCTGCCCATTCATTGAAGTAAATGAGATTGGCCGATCTATAGAAGTGATCATCTATTCCAACTTCATTGAACCCGGGAAAAGCAATCCTTGCAGAACCAAAGTTCCGGATACTGGTCTTTACTACATTAGAGAGAATCTTATGAAGCATTAAAGGAGGGAGAGAAGTCAAGTTCACGTTCTCCATGTCTAACTCTGATAAAAGAAAACGGTTAATTGTGAGAGAAATCACAAGTTTGTAGAAGTGGATAAACCCTTAAAATTTAATGAACCACTCACCCTAATTAAAAGAAGCTTGTCCATTTAAGTGTGATTTGATGGACTTCTCGAAAAGATACGACTTCTCTCACACGCCTTCTGAATATCTACATTCACATCTCTTGGAACTGTAACTTTAAATATATTATCAGCCACCAATCTTACCCAGAGTAACTTTGGTTCAGTGGTTAGTTGTTTCTATCTTTTATAAGTGGTGATGATTTCAAAGGTAACCAGCCATAATTCTTTTTTTGGCTTCTAGTCTCAACAAAACAAGGACTGGCTCTCTCACGGAAGTGTGTTTTGTCATGGTACACATTAGAGGTTTTTCAATGAAATGCTACCCACTCATCACATCAACGTAATTAAGATATCGTAACGGTTTTTGTTTGATCATAATAGTAGTGGAGTTAATAGTTCACTAGTCTAGTAAAATTATCGTCAAGTCACTTTTTAAATATTGTATCCATTATATGATGTATATATAATTTATCTCCTTATGTAGTATCTTTTTTTTCAAATATTATATATGCTAACTTTGTGAGATTGATATATAATTAATAAATTAGCCGTGAGAAATCATATAGTCCCCTATATATTATTTGCCAAGTGATTTTTTGAAATTTGCTTAGGTGTCATCTCTACAAAGCTTCTCACAAAATAATGATGACATGGCCTCTTTGCAAATATGACATGGCTCATGAAAAAAGATGACATGGCTGATTAACTTTAAAGATGACATGGCTGATTAACTTTTTAATATTAAAACGATATATATATATATATAAGGTTCATAGAGATTCATAGAACAAAACCTAGCACATCTTCTTCTACAAAACATGCAGCCGTCCAAATTAGTAGAAGAACAAGTACGTAAATATCTTTCTTTTGCGTGTATGTTCATTAACATTGTATAAGTACGTAATCATCTTCATTAATATTAGTCGAATTTTGTTTATAATTCTTTCAGGTTCACATGAACGATGATGAAGAATATATAGAAGCTATTAAAGAAGCAAGTTTTGGTCTTCAGCAAAGTGTTTTCAAAAACTCTTTTGTACAATATTACTTTCAAATAGCAATATAACTCCAGAAAACATATGGAATGCTACTTGGAAAATTCTATCTAAAGATATAAACAATACCTCAGAAGATCCATGTAAGATTATTTCTATCCAAAAATAATAATTAGAAATTTCTAATCTCAATGCTTATCATATTTTATTGTTTTTTACCTCACAAGTTTTAGTTACTCAGAAGATCAAATTAAGAATTTAGCTAAGTTGGAGATTGAATCAATGATGCGTATTAATGGAAGCTTCTTCATACTTAAGATATAATTCTCTTTTGTTTTGTTTACTAAAGATCATGTTAATGGTGATTTCTATTTTATTAAGATCATGTTACACATCATGTTAATGGTGATTTCTATTTTATTAAGATCATGTTACACATAAATTTACCTACCTTGCAAAAAATATGATTCACACGTAAGGTAAACAAGATAAAAACAATATATTGTTAAAATGTAAATTTCACATAAAGCATTGGATGTGGATCAAGATAAAAACAATAATAGACAATATGTATATATCTCATTAATAGATATACATAAAAGATTTGATTCTCACGAAAATTTGACATTTTGTTATAACAGAAATTTTACATATTGTATATTTTGGATATGAATCAAGAAAAACAAGAATATACAATATGTATATTTGTCATTAATAGATATACACAAAAGATTTGATCCTCACGAATATTTGACATTTTGTTATAACAGAAATTTTACATATTGTATATATGTATATATCACATTAATAGATAAACACAAAAGAAAAATATAACTATAGAAATTTGACATATTTTGATAACGTAAATATTACATATTTTTTATATATATGATGCATTAGATATGAATCAAGATTTTGTTAAATATACTAAAACTTTTATACAAAAAACGTAAATTTATCTTATTGTATATATGTATATATCACATTAATAGATAAACACAAAAGAAAGCAAGATTGTGCTTCTTATTCGTTTTGACCTATTTTGTTATATATATATATATATGATCATAGTTTTCTAATTGACTACAAATCAAAAGTTATTCAAGTTTTCGAAAACTTATTGCAATGTCGACTCTATCTCAAAAAGAAAATACAGTCATTCTTCTCAAAAAAATTGATCCTGCTGATGAAACACAAAAAATCAAAGTCAAGGTTCTGGTCCTCTGGAATACCTACAAGACTTGTGAGATGGTGTTACTCGATGAAGAGGTTTGTTCTAAGATGTTAAGTATTTTCGTTCATGATATCTTGAAAGTTCTTCTAATTATTTTTGTGTACTTATAGGGGACAAAGATTCATGCTCAAGTTGAAAAAGACTTGATGAAGAAATACCTAAATGTTCTGACAGAAGGTCAAGCTGTGACCATCAATGCTTTCCTTTTTTTTTTTGAAACACTTGAAGACCATCAATGCTTTCCAGTTGAAGGACTATGTTGGCGAATTTAGAACCAATCCTCATCCTTATAAGATAACATTCTTCAGAACAACTAAGGTGAAACCATCTGACGATTTTCTCGAGTATTATCCAGAAAAATACTTTTCAGACTTTCAAGATATATTATCCGGAAACCTAGACCGAAACATCTTTGTTGGTAAGTTAACATATCTTTTGGTACGATTTCTAATATTTTCAAAATATATAATACTTGCTTCAATATTTTGCAGATGTTATTGGGCAAATTGTCAATATTGGACCAATGCAGCAGATTAAAACACAAGGGAAGGATAACTCCAAGCTTGACATTGTTCTTCGTGATACAATGTGAGTTTCTCTTCAAATATTCTTCTCTATTTTACTTTCGAGACATATACACTCAAACAACACATGTGCAGGAATGTTCATCTGACATGTACTTTGTAGAGTAACTTTGCCAAGACAGTGATGGATTATGCTAATGAGAACAGTACCTCGGTTGTTATCTTTGTCATTAAATTTGCATGCATCAAGGAATACAAAGGTTACTTATTTCCATAGTTTAGTATATTAGATTCCATGAAATTCCTTTTAAAAATTTACTTATGATTTCTTTGATTCATTTGTAGGTAATATCTCCATATCGAATGCTTTCAACTCAACACAAATCTTTCTCAATCCAACAACAGAAGAAGTGAAAAAGTTTACAGCCATGTAAATTACACTAACTCAAAAATTATTCTCTCAATATGAGTTCTTTACTTTATATGGTTTATTTAGATTGTTAACTATTATATTGTTCATGCTTTTAAAGGTTACTAGGGGATAATCAATTGGTCACACAAAGTGACAGCAAAGTGTCGTGGGGATCAGCTTTAGTTCATGATGAGATGCTTAAGCTAAATCAGAAGAAAACGATTTCAGAACTTATTGATACAAGATCGGTAACTATTCTTCATGTTTGTGATGCTTTTGTAAATACAATATCAGTGACTATTCTGTGTTCTAATATAAATAAAATAGGTTGGTAGCTGTGTTGTTCTTGCCAAAATTGATTCACTTGATCTGACGAGAAAATGGTATTACGTTGCATGCAAAATTTGCAACAAAAAAGTTCAACCATATGGTGATGATTCTGATGATGAGGATAATGAACTTGCTCATAAGCCTCGATACAACTGCCCAAAACACAATGACATCAAAGCCATTGATTACAGGTATTAACATTCTATATTCATCATTCATGATCGTATATATTATAAGTTAATACCCTTCTAATTAAATTTTGTTTTTCTTATAGTTACATAAACACATTTAACATTTAAACAAATATACACACATAACAATACACGATTCAGATGAAGAGATTACAAAACAAGCAAAGTAAACTACAAAAGGCATCCGACAAAGTAGAACTGCTTAGACAATGAACAAAGTAGCAAATAAGCAAACTGAGACACTTAATAAAACGAAATAAACATGAAACAAAGACAACTATTTTACATGCGTGCATAGATAATTTGTGTCACAACTTTCCTTGCTTTAGGGGTTACTCCTAGCAAACTGAACAAATTGGTGAAGCCTTTTGTAGTAGTAACAATGCTTGCATACTTTATCCATGTTTTCGAGATTGCAATTTGTTCGTGGCTCAAAGTTGACCATATTTATATAGTAATCTCGCTCCATAAAATTTGGGATTGTACTTAGTGTGTTCTTGACTCTTTCCCAGCAATGATCGGAAGTTGATAGTTTGTTTTTCCATTCAAATTTATCCAAATACTTTTTCCCTTTCCCATAGTAACCTAAAGCAAGCATTAACAAACCGCAAAGATACGTACCGGCTCTATAGTTTAGCCTGGACGAAGTGCGTATAAGATCAAGACCCCAAACTTTTTTTTGTGGACGAAATACTGAAGTAAGCCCTCAATATAGTATGCCTCCGGGTTGTCATTCTCCAAGCATTTTTCCTTCAACCTAGGATGTTTAGTGAGCATTTCCATTGGTTCCACAACAAAATATGAAAGGCTGAGGTTTCTGAAGTAGTTTTTGGGATCTGGACTTGAGTTGTATGAGTCTTCAGAGCTATCACCGGTCTGATCATGCGTATTGTAATTCTTCACCGAAGTTTCTGATTCCATCTTCCCCGAAGTGTCTTTGGAACTCCTTTCTAAAACAGTATATATTTTTGGTGGTTGGTTTGTTGCAAGAAATGAAAGAAATGCTCTATACGTTTTGAAAGATGAGAGATAGTTATAAAGAGCTTTGTTTGAACAAGATGTGATAGCACATGATGTTAGCCTCGACACATGGAAGGCCTATTTTAACTTGATTCATATAGTATTGTCATTTCAGTTCCAAAAGAGACATGTTGCTTTTGAAGCATGCTTCTTGATATTACAAACCGTGACAGATTTAAAGTAGAGGCAAGTCATGCAATGC